TAACGTTCGTTGTTAAAACGTTTGTTATAGAGCGACTGTTGAAAATAAGTGTATCGGTAAAGTTGTATTCGGAAAGAATAAATCAGTTTTATTAAGTAAGGACTTGTGTCGCTAAAGTTACATCGGAACGAAGTTACGGAAAATCAATTAACAAACGGAGACGTAACAATATGTTTAGGAAGTTGTGTTTTCTTAACAAAGGTTTAATAGTCTATCTGTAAGTAACTGAAGGTTTAATAGTTTATCTGTAAGTAAGTGGAGGTTTCATAGTCTATCTGTAAGTAAGTAGAGGTTTCATAGTCTATCTGTAAGTAAGTGGAGGTTTCATAGTCTATCTGTAAGTAAGTAGAGGTTTCATAGTCTATCTCTAAGTAAGTGGAGGTTTCATAGTCTATCTCTAAGTAACTGAAGGTTTCATAGTCTATCTCTAAGTAACTGAAGGTTTCATAGTCTATCTCTAAGTAACTGAAGGTTTCATAGTCTATCTCTAAGTAAGTGGAGGTTTCATAGTATATCTCTAAGTAAGTGGAGGTTTCATAGTCTATCTCTAAGTAACTGGAGGTTTCATAGTCTATCTCTAAGTAACTGTAGGTTTCATAGTCTATCTGTAAGTAAGTAGAGGTTTCATAGTCTATCTCTAAGTAACTGAAGGTTTCATAGTCTATCTCTAAGTAAGTGGAGGTTTCATAGTATATCTCTAAGTAAGTGGAGGTTTCATAGTCTATCTCTAAGTAACTGGAGGTTTCATAGTCTATCTCTAAGTAACTGTAGGTTTCATAGTCTATCTGTAAGTAAGTAGAGGTTTCATAGTCTATCTCTAAGTAACTGAAGGTTTCATAGTCTATCTCTAAGTAACTGGAGGTTTCATAGTCTATCTCTAAGTAACTGTAGGTTTCATAGTCTATCTGTAAGTAAGTAGAGGTTTCATAGTCTATCTCTAAGTAACTGAAGGTTTCATAGTCTATCTCTAAGTAACTGAAGGTTTCATAGTCTATCTCTAAGTAACTGAAGGTTTCATAGTCTGTCTGTAAGTAACTGGAAAATAGTAATGTAGCGGTTAAACAATATGTTTTCACTTTAGTAGAACTTGAAATGAAATGAAAAATAAACATGAAATAAAAATATTTATAGATATAGAAAAAATGACTTGTTTAAATTTGTTGTTTAAACATTTTAATAATTAGATGTGCTTAATAGTTACTTGTACATTTAGTGTTCTCTGTCATTATAGTCAAACACTGAGTGTAGTAAAACTGCTTCAGTGAGTCTTTGACTCTGTAAGGCCTATTAATCTTGTAAAACTATTACGTCTAGCCCAATCCTCAGACTTAGAATGTCAAGTCTGCAGTGAACAAAATGTTGTAAGTGCATTAATCAATGCACCACAACACCAAATGCCTTGAGATTCTGTTTCATACATTAAGAGGTTCAATAGCAGGCATCAAGATGAAGGTAAAAAAATTGCATTAGGGTTTTGTACTGATGAAATATTTTTGAGGAATTCATAAAATAATAGGGAGCTTTTCAAATTAAATCTGTTGCATGAGCTTTGTCACATTCTACCTGTACCATAATCAACTTTCACAGCAAATCAAAACAAAACGTTTGTTTACTGCTAGGAAAATACAGCAAAATAGACCTAAAAACTTTGTTTTCAAACATTGATATTTCTCATACTTCAAACTTAACTCATCTTTTTCTGTTTATACTCTATAATGTAATATCTAATATATGGCAGACGATTGTAAATTTGAAGTAATAAGCTTCATTCTCCCCTTCAATAATGAAAACATGCAATAATTCAAAACAAAACCAACCACAATACACATGGTTTAACAGTGGTCACATATATCGAAGAGGAAGTTCAAGATGATACTGTTTCATGTGTTATGTCAAGATGGTACTGTTTCACGTGTTGTATCGAGATGGTACTGTTTCACGTGTTATGTCAAGATGGTACTGTTTCACATGTTTATGTGAAGATGGTACTGTTTCACGTGTTGTATTGAGAT